TTTTTGAGACTGAGTGCCTGGCTCTGTCACCCAGGCTGGAGTGCAATGGCGCCATTACGGCCCATTGCAACCTTTGCCTGCCAGGATCAAGCAATTCTCCAGCCTCAGCCTCCAGAGTAGCTGGGACTACAAGCATGTGCCACCATGCCCGGCTAATTGTTTGTATTTTTAGTAGAGATGGGGTTTCACCATGCTGGCCAGGCTGGTCTCAAATTCCTGACCTCATGATCAGCCTCCCAAAGTGCCGGGATTTCAGGTGTGAGCCACCACGCCCAGCCTTAATTTTTAATTTTTATAGAAGTAGGGTCTCATTATGTTGCCTAGGCTGGTCTTGAACTCCTGAGCTCAAGTGATCCTCCTGCCTTGACCTCCCAGTGTGCTGGGATTACAGGCATGAACCTCCATGCCTGGCCCCACTATTTATGGGTATGCATATTGCAATTGAATTAACTCGGGGAGGGGGCTAAATTGTTAGGAGAAGCGCTAGGATAGGTGGAATAAAGAAGGTTAGGAAGTAGAGTTTGATTAGGCCTTTTTGAATTGATGTGGTTGTAGCTATTGAAGTTTGTATCTGTATTGTTGTTTTTGGTATAGATTTTTCAACACTAAACATTCCCTTACCATATGACCTAGAAATTTTCCTATTTGGCATTTATCCCAGATAAATGAAAACTTATGTCCACTGGAAAGTCTGTACATGATTTTTCATAACAGTGTTATTAGTAATAGCCAAAACCTGGAAACAACCAAAATGTCCATCAAATCGATGAATGGCTAAATAAACCAGGATATGGCGTCTATGGCTGTACCACCCTGAATGTGCCCGATCTCTTCTGATCTTGTGGGACTATTGGGTGCTGTAGTCTTTTGGCCTCCTTCTCTCTCCCTCTTTCCCCCTTTTGTCGCCGTGCTTTTCAACCGCCCTCTGCCTCTGCTCCCCCTTTTCTGCCACCTGCACCCCTGCTGCAGCCTGGGACCTTCTCATGGGGGTTCACCACTGCAGCCCCTGGGGCCACTGCCAGCAGGTACAGCCATACCCCCCTGAACGCACCTGATCTTGTCAGATCTCAGAAGCTAAGCAGGGTCTGGCCTGGTTAGTACTTGGATGGGAGACTGCATGGGAATACTAGGTGTTGTAGGCTTTTGGCTTCCACTCCTTCCCACTTTCCCCCTTTTGTTGCTAGGCTTCCCAATCGCCCCCTGATGCTGCTCCCCCTTATCTGCCTACCTGCGCCCCCAGTGCAGCCTAAGACTTCCTCGCGGCGGTCTGCCACTGCAGCACTGCCAGGCAGCAGCATCCCACCTCTTAAAAATAAATAAATAAATAAACTGTGGTATATCCATATCACATATAGAAAGTAAAATGCGAGTCCCCAAAAGACATGTACATATCTTAACTCCTGAACCTGTGAATGTGACCTTATTCAAAAATAGGGCCTTTGCAGTGCTCATTAAGGATCTCGAGATGAGATTATCCTAGATTATCTGGGTGGGCCCTAAATCCAATGACAAGTGTCTTTTTTTTGCCCAAGCAATCAATTATCCTGTCTCGGCCTCCCTAGTTGCTGGGACCAGAGGCATGTGCCACCACACCTGGCTGATTTTTTTTTTTTTTTTTTTTTTTTTTTTTTACAGATTTTTTTTTTTTTTTTTTTTTTTTTTTTGAGACAGAATCTCTCTCTGTCATCCAGGCTGGAGGGCAGTGGTGCTATCTGGGCTCACTGCAACCTCAGCTCCTTGGTTTAAGCAATTCTCATGCCTCAACCTCCTGAGTAGCTGAGATTACAGGTGTTTACTACTATGCTTGGCTAATTTTTTGTATTTTTAGTAAAGACGAGGTTTCACCATGTTGGCCAGGCTGGTCTTGAACTCCTGACCTTGTGATCCACTCACCTCGAACTCCCAAAGTGCTGGGATATGAATATGTTCTATGTTTCATTGGTGAATATAATCCCAAAACTCATCTAACTAGACCCTTAATTGCCCCCAAAAGTTCTTGTGTATAAATTATACCTCTGTAAAAAAAATTTTTTTAGGCCAGACGCAGTGGCGCACCCCTGTAACCCCAGCACTTTGGGAGGCCGAGGTGGGTGGATCACCTAAGCTCAGGAGTTTGAGACCAGCCTGACTAACATGGTAAAACCCCATCTCTACTAAATTAAAAAAATTAGCCAGGCATGCTGGTGAATGCCTGTAATCCCAGCTACTCAGGAGGCTGAGGCAGGAGAATCACTTGAACCTGGGAAGTGGAGGTTGCAGTGAGCCGAGATCATGCCATTGTACTTCAGCCTGGGCAATAGAAGCCAAACTCCGTCTCAAAGCAACAACAACAAAAATGTATATGAAAATTAGCTGGGCGTGGTGGCAGGCGCGTGGAATCCCAGCTTATCAGGAGGCTGAGGCAGGAGAATCGCTTGAACCCGGGAGGCGTAGGTTGCGGTGAACTGAGATCGCATCACTACACCCTAGCCTGGGCGACAGAGCAAGACTGTGTCTCAAAAAAAATGCTTTTAGTTAAAATAAATAAATAAATAAAAATATGAGGAACAAACAAGATGTATCAGTTTTCAGCTGAGTTTTTCTAAGGCAACCACTAGAATATTCTACCTTTTGCTACCTTATACTTTATCAATTCATATACATTCCTGAGCACTGCAATGCAAGGATTCCATCACCTCCCCAACATCTGACATGGAATAGAAGCAGGTAAATGTTTACTAAATGAAGGTATGCAGCGGGCTTTTGGAGAGGAGATAGACTCTGGCCACCAGCCTAATGGAATAGACTGTCTCTTGCAAACGTATCTGAGCAGTTCCCTCATTTTGTGATCCAAAGAGTAAACACATACAACCAGCCAATCTTCGGTTATATTCCTGCTATCCTAGAGAGTAAGTGCTCCAGGACACCAGAGTAAGAAGTCTGGACGGGGGCAATTCTCTTTGTCTAATGTGGATTATTGTTTATGTTCCTATCTTGTTTCCCTATTAGACTGTGAGCTGGAGGGCCGCACTTTTCTGTGTTGTTCTAACCCTCTCAGTCCTTACAGTTCACTGCACCCAGCGGCCAGTCAGGAATCTTTGCCACTGATGAGCTGTAATGCCATATGTTCAGGGGAATACATCACTATTTATGACATGAAGGAGAACTTTCAAATTTAAGAAGAGATTGTTGTGCATGCTGAAGACAGTAGGTATTATAAAATCCTTAAATGGGAGCCTTTCCCACTCCAGAACAACCTACTTAGCATTAGATAAATTTACTATTTAAAGTAGCCAAAGATGACCTCTAGAACTAGAACCTAAAGAAATAATAGCAAATGCATGTAGAGACAAAAAAACTAAAAGAAGCCTTCGTAACAAAATGCATTTAGAAGTTTTGTTGCAGCATTTTTTGTTTGTTTGTTTTGGGATAGGGTCTCACTCTGTCACCTAGGCTGGAGTGCAGTGTTGCGATTTCAGCTCACTGCAACCTCTGCCTCCTGTGTTTAAGCAATTCTCCTGCCTCAGCTTCCTGAGTAGCTGGGATTACAGGCACATGCAACCATGCCCTGCTAATTTATGTTATTTTATTTATTTATTGTTTTGTTCAGGCACAGTGGCTCACACCTATAATCCTGGCCCTCTGGGAGGACGAGGCAGACAGATCATTTGAGGTCAGGAGTTCGAGACCAGGCTGGCCAACATGGTGAAACCCCGTCTCTACTAAAAATACAAAAATTAACCGGGCATGGTGGCAGATGCCTATAATCTCAGCTACTCATGAGGCTGAGGCATGAGAATTGCTTGAACCCCCAGGGGGTGGAGGTTGCAGTGAGCCAAAATCATGCCGCTGCACTTCAGCCTGGGCAACAGAGCAAGATTCTGTCTCAAAAAAAAAGAGACCTGCTGCGATTTCTGGTCCAGGCCCTCTTTGTCTCTGGTCCTCTGGTCTACAATTGGGAAACCGGAGAGAAAGCGGAGTTCCTTGTGCAGTGGAAGCAGGATCTGAGGCCCCACAGCTGCCTTCCCTTTAATTACAAACACTATAATGATAACCAGCATCACTGCATTTCATGTCACAAGGGGACTTAGCATGTCTCTTGCTCAGAGCCCTTTTGTGGTTTCCCAATTACAGTTAGAATAATTCCCCAACTGCTTTGTACAAGGCCTCCCAGGATTTAGCTCCTACCTTTTTCTCCAGCCAGGCTCACCTTCTCCTACTCTACTCACTTAACCCTCGCTCCTTTCTGTCCTGCTGGTTCTTTTCAAATGCGCAAAACTGAATCCTGTTTTTTCCACTCCTGCCTTGGTGCTTTGGCACTTGCTACTTTCTTTGCTTGAAACACTCTTCCTCCCTGTTCAATACCAAAGCTACTAGCCACACTAGCTACTCTGAATTGAGGTGTGCCAGAAGTCAGAAATGCACACCAGATTTTTTTGTTGTTGTTTTTTGAGACGGTCTTGATCTGTTGTCCAGGCGTCCAGGCTGGAGTGCAGTGGTGAGATCTCAGCTCACTGCAACCTCCGCCTTCTGGGTTCCAGCCATTCTCATGCCTCAGCCTCCCAAGTAGCTGGGATTATAGGTGTGTACCAACATACCCGGCTAATTTTTGTATTTATAGTAGAGACGGGGTTTCGCCATGTTGGCCAGGCTGGTCTGGAACTCCTGACCTCAAGCAATCCGCCCCTTTGGACTCCCAAAGTGCTGGGATTACAGGTATAAGCCACTGCACCTGGCCAAAATGCACACCAGATTTTGAGAGTTTTGTTCACAGAAAAGAACTTAAATTTTTAAAATATTGGTTACATTCTGAGATGATAATATTTTGGATATGTTGGACACATAGGGTTGCTGTGAGGACTGAATATGCTGAGAATTCTTTTTTTTGAGAAGGAGTGTCGCTCTGTCGCCCAGGCTGGAGTTCAGTGGTGTGATCTCAGCTCACTGCAACCTCCACCTCTTGGGTTCAAGCCATTCTCCTGCCTCAGCCTCCAGAGTAGCTGGGAATACAGGCATGCCCGGCTAAATTTTTGTATTTTTAGTAGAGACGGGGTTTCACCATGTTAGCCAGGCTGGTCTCGATCTCCTGACCTCGTGATTTGCCTGCCTTGGCCTCCTAAAGTGCTGTGAACCACCGTGCCCAGCCCTAAGAAATTTAAAATTACACATGTGGGCTGGTCACTGTGGCTCATGCCTGTAATCCCAGCATTTTGGGAGGTCACGGGTAGATCACTTGAGGTCAGGAGTTCGAGACCAGTATGACCAACATGGTAAAACCCCGTCTCTACTGAAAACAAAAAATTAACCGGGCGTGGTTAATTGCAGGTGCCTATAATCCCAGTTACTCAGGAGGCTGAGGCAGGAGAATCATTTGAACCTGGGAGGCAGAAGTTGCAGTGAGCTGAGATCACACCACTGCACTACAGCCTGGGCAACACAGAGAGATTCCATCTCAAAAAATAATAATAATAAAAATAAAATAAAATAAAATTACACATGTGACTCATATTGTATTTCTACAGGACAGCACCATTCTACATGTTCACAGGGTTGCTGCTTTTCCTATGTTCAGGTGT